TAAAACAAGAGGTTCCTATAGAGTGGTACAGAAGTTTTGGGTGCTAATACCTTCCCTAAGCTTAACCAAACCCCGAACCTAGATCTCTCCCTGCACTGTGTTTACGATGCAAAATAGGTTTTTCCTTTCTTTAACCTTTCCTTCAGATAAATCAAAGACCGGTTATGAATCAAACATTTGTGATTCAAATTAATTAATAATTTGATATCTTATTCTCACCGCAACAATCAATCTCCCTCTAAGAGTAATAAGAAGAAAACCACAGTTGGTCCCCCTAAAGCTTGGAGTAAAGTCACATCTGTCTCCAAGAAAAGAAAGGCTAGATCAGAAACTGAATCTGTTGAAGATGTTGAGGATGATGTCCAAGACATCACTCTTGTAAAAAGATCTGCTACAAAGAAGACTACAAATACTATACCTGCTACTCCTTTGGACAATGTGTCTTTCCACTTCATTGACAATGTGGCAAAGTGGAAATTTGTGTATCAAAGAATTGCTTTGGAGAGAGAATTAGGTAAGGATGCTCTTGAGATCAAGGAAGTCATGGAGCTAATCTCTGATGCTGGGCTGTTAAAGACTGTGGTTGGTTTCTCAAAATACTATGACATGCTAGTTAAAGAGTTCATAGTGAACATTTCTGAAGACATTACTGATAAAAAGAGCAAGGAATTCATGAAGGTGTTTGTGAGAGGAAGATGTGTGGAGTTTTTTGCTGATGTGATTAAAAGATTTTTAGGTAGGGATGAGGAAGGGGCTGGTGAATTGGAGGTTACTAACAATCAGGTTTGCAAGGTGATAATTGCTAATCAAGTTACTGTATGGCCCTCAAAAGGTAAATTATCTGCTGGCTAACTAAGTGTGAAGTATGCCATCCTGCACAGGATTGGTGCTGCCAACTGGGTACCTACAAATCACACTTCAACCATTGTTGTTGGTCTGGGAATATTTATTTTTGATGTTGGGACCAAGGTTACGTTTGACTATGGAAGTTACATCTTTGATCAAATTGTGAAGCATGTCACCACTAATTTTGTTAAGCTACCCATTGCTTTCCCCTCTTTGCTCTGTGGGATTATTCTGAGCCAATACCATGGGATTCTCTCAAGCAATGATGTAGACTGCAAAAAGGACTTTGTTTTGTCACTCGACTATAAGTTGTTTGTAGGAAGACATGTCCCAGACATTGTCTTGACATCTTTTAAGAAGACATCCACAAAAAAGACTGGGATTATCAAAGAATTAAAGGAGACCTGCAGGGAATTGGGAGAGGTTATCAGTGTGGCTACTGCAAGAAAACTTAAGTTGGAAGCTCTGATAAGAGGTTTGGAATAGAATGAAGAAGATAATGTGGAGGCTGTTGATGTTCAGGAAGAGGAAGATGAGGAGGTGTCTGTCTCAGGTGAAAAGACTGGTGATCATGCTTCTAGGTCTACAACTGCTGATGAAGATGAGAGTTTTGGGTCTGAGGAAGAAAATTGATAATGCTTGGCTATGGTGTTCTTTGGTTTATGGATTGTTTTGTTTCTTTTTTTAGAATTTTTTCTCCTTGCACTTAATGTGCTTTTGACTTGTACCTTTTGGGTTCTCACTGTACCCTTAACTCTATTTGGTTCTGTTTAATTATTCTATGATATTGTGTTACCCTTATTATGTTTTCCTAATTTATGGCTAAAAAGGGGGAGAAGGAGTTGTTGTCGCTACTAACCAACGAATAGCAAGTGCTCTTCCTTGTGGCTTTTTTATTTCAATGGGAACTTGATGAGTCGATCCGCTCACGCGTCTCGCTTTTACTACTATCTTGGGAGTTACCTGAAGTATTGCTTCACGTAAAACAGATAGTGTATTTTTTCTGTCTTTTGTTGAATCCTTTTCATAGCTCGATAGAAAATTCGATAAGCCAATATATTTTTTCCGTGTTTCATAATATGGTTAATCAACCTGTTAACTACTCGATTACGATAAATTGGATCGGATTTTTCGATTACTGAGAATTGAGGAGGTTGTTTTGTCTGCTGCTGACTATGATGTTGAGGGGGAGTTTTGTCGTTTGCTTGCACTTTGTTTTGAGGGGGAGGAAGCAATTTTTTTCTGTGTTTCTGCTGCTGTGATCTCTGATATGTTCAAGGAGCTCTTGTGATCTATTGAATGTTTTAGCCAAAATTTGCCAAAGGGAGAGTTTGTTAGTTCTATGATTGGCAGGAATTTTTGTAAAACTTGGTGATATCTCAGTATGTCTTGACATATGTTCTTAACCTTCTGCAGGTGGTTATTTTTATTGTTGCAGGGTTTAGTTCATGATGTCAAGTATGATGTCCTAACATTTGTGAACAGAACATTCAGTGAGAATGTTTTGGTTTGACTGTTGTGTTTTGTGCAACTTTTTGTGCTGTTGTGATTAGAAGTTTAGTGGTAGAAATCTGCTTGGAAATCTTCCTTATACAAAAGAGAGTCTGATGCATAATTCATGGAGTAATTGAGAAATCTTTTGTTCTATTTTTTGAAGAAAATCTTGAGAAGATTTGAAATGTGATTTGATTTGATTTGATCAAATATGTTTTGGTTCTATTTCCTTGATGTTTATTATAAGAAGATTTGAAGAATTATCTGAATTGATTTTATCAAATCAGAAGTTTTTTTTGCTAAAGCCCAAGCTCGTTCAAAGTGTTACTATATAAAGTCTTCACAATCCTATTTTGAAGATTAGAGAAGCTAGGGTTGAGTTAGTGCATTGCGTAAGGAATAAGCTTTTAGCTTCGTGTGTTATTGTTATTTGTGAGTCATTCACTCATCACGTTGATGTGTGAATTGGACTGAGTTTTTGTGTTGTAAGTTTTCCACTCAAAGGTTTTAAGTAAGAGTGTATTGCTCTTGATTGAAGCTTTTAAGCAAGATCAAGTATTGTCTTTGAAGAGTGTCTTCTATGTTTTATTCCTTTGTTGTCATCACTGTTGTGATTGAAGGGGAGTGAGAGGTGTCTCATATCTAAGGTGTTTTAGATAGAAATTGCAAGGGTAGAGATTAGGTGCGAAGATTGTAAACTAGAGAGAGTTTGCTGTGAATCTTCAAACTAATTCTATTTAGTGAATTTCCTTCCTGACTTGGTAGCCCCTAGACGTAGGTGTGTTTGCACCGAACTGGGTTAACAATTGCTTGTGTCTATTTACTATTGTTAAAAACCTTTTATCTTGTTCATATATTGGTGATTGTTCAGATATTAGTGTCGTGACATCTCCTTTAACATCCCATATTTAATACCAGAATTTCAGATGTCGTTGAGTAGAATGGACATGAGGGGTGCTAATACCTTCCACTTGCGTAATCGACTCCCGAACCTTAATTTGGTTGCAAGACCATGTTCATTCCCTTCTAAGATTTTCTTGATGTTTTTTCTTACCCCGTTGGAATAAATAAAGTTTGATGGAGGCTCTGTAGTTTTTTTTCCGCGTAACGACATCCATATTCAGACATTCCTACATATAAGAGACTTGTAGGTTAATTATTGTATCTAAATGCAACAAGACCTGATATAGCCTTCTGCACGCAATAGTTGAGTCCGTTCTTATTTCCTCCAACAATGACGCACTTTAATGCAACACGTAGAGTCTTAAGATATCTCAAGACATGACTAGGTCGAAGCATATTGTTTCCTAGATATTCAATTATGCAACTCAATGGATATTCCGATGCAAATTGGGGAGGGTGCTTAGACACCATAAGATCAACATCATGACACCGTTTTTCCTAAGAAAAACACTCATTTTAGGGAGGAATAAGAAATAGTTTACACTTTCATTGTCATAATCAGAAGTTGAGTATAGAGCACCTGCGACTGCTACTTGTAAATGCAGTGGATCTTATATCTCATGGATGATTTAAAAATGAAATGTATAAGAACTTGAGTAATATATTGTGATAATCAAAATGCTTTACATTTTGCAGCAAACCAGTATTCTATGAAAGCAAAATAAAGGGATAGTGAAACTTTTGCGATGAAGTCTAGAGATCAGTTAGCACATTTTTTTACTAAATGATTGCATTCTTAACAATTCAATGAATTACTATCCAAGTTAAAAATTATTGATGTATACCAACTATCAACTTGTGGGAGAATGTTAAATCATGTAAATGAAGATGGTTCAACATGCACCAATGACAGAGAAAATAAGAAAACTAATTAGCTATCAATAACTAACTAACTCAGTTGTTAGGAGTTAGTTATATATTTGAAAGTTAGTTGCTTGAGCATTAAAAAAATTATTGTATGAGTAGTGTATGATAGATTACCATAAAAGTAACTCATATTCTATATAAGTGTAGTTTACATTCAGTTCCAATCTAATTAGAAAGGTTCTATCTCCATCATTTTATGCAATTCAATCATTTTATCATTTTGTAATATAAAATCCAAAACTATAATATTTTTAATTCTAATTCAAAATAGACTCTTTTATATATCATTTTTATTTTTTAAAAAGGTCAAATAAATTTTATTAAAATTTTATAAAAACTAATGAATAACTTTTCTCTCTATATACAATCTTTTTCAATGACTATGGTATTTCATTAGTTTAATATTTAAAAGTTTAGGAAAAAAAATGTAATTTTTCTAAAAGAATATTTTTTACTATATTTTCAAAATAATTTGGCTAAACCTTCTCTTTACATCGGTTTGTCCAGGAAAAAAATGCAATTTAGAAAAAAAAATGTAATTTAGCTAAAATAATAATAATAATAATAATAATAATAATAATAATAATAATAATAATAATAATAATAATAATAATAATAATAATAATAATAATAATAATAATAAAAGAAAATTGAACAATATTATTAATTATTTATGCAGTAATTATATAAATTAAAATCATTCTTTATTTCTTCCAAATTATACATAAACGACTGATTACAAAAACTAAATACCGTAAAAATTTCTCTTGCGATTTATTTTATATTGCAGAGTGTAAATAAGAAGAGTAGCTGATTAAATCATGAAGTTCTTAATGCTTCAAAATAGCAAACATTGACAACACAACTGACACTCCGATCATAGCCATAGAACTTGTAACATATCCTGCAGCTCCGGCATCAGGACTTGGAGCCGGAGTCGAAGCCGGCGAGGGCCCAAGGTCTTGAGCTGAGGTCATGGCAACTAAGACTACAAAGACAAAAAGAAACTTAAATGTGGTTGTTGATGATGCCATAGTGAAACAAAGGACTAAAACAAAATGAGTGAATTGTGAATTGTTGATTGTTGATGAGAGATGTGGTGATGAATATAATTGAAGAGACGTTGGAGTATTTATAGGAAGATTGGGAATGCGCGTGGGTTATTTTTCTGCGAAGAAATCCATCAGCCAACTGGACTACGTTTGTGTTTTGCTTTACTTTGACTCTTCGGAAATTTCTTTAACAATACAATCTTTGCTGGTATTTGTATGTTTTGTTAATTTGTTTATAATTAAAGTTTTTTTTTTAATTTTTTATAATCAAGCAGACTTATATTGAAAGGAAGTATTAGAAATATTCTAATCCAATAAATAGAAAGTAGAACAAATAGCTCCTACTCCTATCTATTAAAAAAAATCAAAAGGACATTTGAGCCACTCATAAAAGAAACATTTAGGATTGTGTTTATTCCTAATAGCAAACCACAACCAAGAGGATAAAACAACTTTATCGAAAATAATATCTGGGTTGCAGACTTCGTCTTTGAATATTATTTGATTCCTCGAATGCCATATGCACCAACAAGATGCAATTCAGATTAAAAAAACATTAAACTTATAACATTTCTGTAACAAACAAGTTATCCAATCAAAGAGATGCAAGCTATACTCTTGTTCCACCAACCCTCGTATGTCAATCCACTCAACAATTTTCCTTCAAACCATTGAGATTCTAGGACAATTTAAAAATAGATGATTATTGGACTCCTCGCTACCAAAACAAAACACACAAACCTTTTCATGTACATTAGTGATAACCCCTCTATGCGCCAGATTAAAGCGAGTTTGCAGCCTGTCCAATAATAAACGCCACATAAAGACCTTGACTTTCAATGGAATTTTGGCACTCCATAACACATCTAATGCTAATAAGGAATCTTCCTCCAAACTAGACCGAACCGAGTTTTTCATATATCCTTAGTAGCATGATATGTTGTAACAACACCATAAGTTCCTCTAGTTCACCCTACGCATTACTCCCTTACTGACTAACAGTAAATTCCACATTTCGCCTCCAAACTTGTCATTCCAAAAGTTAAGCTCATAACTGATCCTTTCTTATTAACAACAACTTCGTACAATGCAGGACATTGCTGCATAATCCTGAAATTTTCGAGGCAGTGTGCATACCAAAAAGGGATGTCTTTCCCATCCCCAAGTCTAGATGTAATCATCTTGGAAAAGCATACATCATTCAAAGAATCACCAAGAGTCATTATATCACACCACTGTTTACGGTAAAAATTGATAAACAACTGTTAGTCTTTCAAAAAAATTTAGTTTACTTGCAGGATCAACCAGTAAATCTTAAGGACATATCTATTGTTTTAATATATTTCTTGAAAATTGATGAACACTTCGACAGTACTCATTTATATTAAAGATTATTTTGATTGTTTTTATAAAAGGATAAACTTTGTAAGGATCAACCAGTGAATCCTAAGGACATAGCTATTGTTTCAATATATTTCTTGAAAATTGATGAACACTTCGAATGTACTCATTTATATTAAAGGACCTGAATCCTAAGATATAGGTATTGTTTCAATATATTTATTGAAAATTGATGAACACCTCGACAATACTCATTTATATTAAAGGATGAACCAGTGAATCCTAAGGACATAGCTATGATTTCAATATATTTCTTGAAAATTGATGAACACTTTAACAATACTCAGTTATATTAAAGATTATTTTGATTGTTTTTATAAAAGGATAAACTTTGTAAAAGTTGATAAAGAAAACGCAATAAAGAAGACTTTAAAGTAAAAGTGCAGTAAAGAACAATTGATAAATGAAAGTAACTTTCTATTGAAATAAAGATGGTGTTTCAACGTACATTTCCCAATGACAAACTCTTTTCTCACTTGACTTAGATACTTTGAGTAAATTTTGAGTATTTGTACAATAATGAACACACACAGAAATCCTAAGACTAAGACTCCTATTTATAACTGTCTTCAACAGACATTTCTCCAAATGCTGACACATTCGCCCTGCATGCCTTCATTTCACCACAATTCTCTACGCGTTTTTCTTGAAAAACGGATAAGGACAAAAGACAGTTATTTGTCCATATTTTGAATTTCAAAATTCCGCCGAAGGAAGGCTTCAAACATCATTCGTCGAAGTTGATTCTCCATACTTGGAAATATTTCTAAGTATTATCCAGACATCCCCTTCATGGATATTAGTTCGACCAAACTTCTCCCAAACTCTTGTCGAAGTCAGTAAAATTCAAGAAACTTGATTTTCACTAAATGCTAAAAAGCCTGGCGTCGAAATTTCCAGCCAACAACCACCACAACGAAAATTTCTTAGATACATAACTTTCTGCCTGGGCCAGGATCCTATGCATATAGTTTCCATACCTCGCCATCGTTATGCCATGCTGTTGCACCCCAAAATTTGACCAACCGGTTCCCATATCTGGTTTATGTTTCGACGCATTTGGCATTCGCATTCGCATACTGCATGCATTGCAATTTTCTCAGTCAGATTGATTTTATCGGGATTGCAGCCCCTGGCGTTTCAGGCAGTTCAGGCCGGTTTGAATAAGTGTCTTTTGAGAATGGTGCTCGTTCCCTGTGTGTTTAGGCCATCTCGGTGCCCGGGTTTCGCTATGGTTGCGCAATCGTTCTCTAATCGGCTTCTTGGCATTTTTAGGATTTTTCTTTTATTTTCTAGATTTTTAATGCATTTAATAGATTTTTTAATAGATTTATTTGCTTTTTAGATATTAAATAGGTTAGTATTTTGTTTTATATAATTTAATAGATTTTCATAAATAGTTTTTTAGATTTTTTTAAATAGATATTCCTTCTTTTATAGATTTAATAGACTTTTAACATTTTAGATTTTAGTTTTTTTATCATTAAATAGATGTTAGATTAGATTTTTTAATTGGTTTAATAGATTTAATATAGAATTTAATAGGTTTTTTTGTATAGATTTTATTAGATTTTTTTAATTGATTTTATAGGTTTAATTGGAATTTTAATTAGATAAATAGATATTAAATAATATTTTTCTATTTTTTAATAGGTTAATTCGGGTTAATTTTGTTTTTAGGATTAATTAGGGCTTTTGTTAATTAATTTTCGTTTAGTTAATTAGAGTTTAATTCAGGTAATCATGTTTAATGCATTAATCAGGTCATTAGTCCTCATAGTGGGCCACTATCAATTATCCAATTTGCTGAAAGCCCAATTTCAGTGCGCCAGGTGTCACATAAATAGGGAGCCACGCGTGTAATCAGGGTTTCACCACCTCATCTCCCATTCAGCTTTCTCTTTCTGCCAGCACGTTCCCCACTCTACCACCTGTCCCACATACGCGTCTTTCATGCAGGACCCCACACCACCACGTGTTCGCACCTCCCTCACCCTCTGCGCCACCTATCCCCTCACCGGAACCTCTCACCGGCCGGCATGCAATTGCCGGCGACCACCCTAACCACTCGCCGACGTTCACCCTAACCATCTCCGACCGCTGCAACCACCACCGGATTCTCCAGAATTTCATCAGAAATGATGAACATTCATCAAACCTTCAAGAACCTCCACCGTCTCCGCCATAGATTTTCCAGAAACTCCCAGATTCATCAGAACTTCCCCATCTCCAAACGATGTTCATCATCTCCTTGAATATTTTTCCAGTTTTCCAGAAACCGTTCAACAACCTTCAACTAACTTCGTCAAACCTTCATACCTTCATTCGGTTCATCATCATGTTCATCATCAACTTCAACAAGCTTTTCTAGAAATCCAAGAATGTTCCTCACGAACTTCATCATCTTCGTACAAGATCCAAGAACCATGAACCAATCTCCAGATCTTTAACAGCCTATCAACGTTCTTGATTCGTCACCGAACTTCGTCTTCTTCAAGATCCTTCAACGAATCTCCAGAATCTTCCTCGTCAAACTTCATCAACCTCCGATCAAGATCTTCAACGACGCTCGTCAGCCGTTCACCACTGTTCATCATCAGATTACCAGAAACTCGTCAAGAAACTTCATGTTCATCCGTCTTCATGCGTTTTCCAGAACATTCAACATCCTTCATCGACAGATCTTCATCAGAAGCGTGAGCACCATCATCATTCATTAAGTCCCTCCGCTCGTAATGAATTTTCAACCAATTCATAAGTCTCCAAGGACATGCGAGACACAGATCTATTTTCGTTTCCTGAGATTTGATTTGTTTTGCAAGAGTTGAAACAAGTTGTTTGGATGTGGATAGAAAGGTGGAACGAACGAAGATTGTTGAGTGATTTTGTGAGCAAGTTGATTTCAGAGAGAGAGAGTTTGAGGTTTCGGCGGCGACTGAGTGGTAGGGTTTCGGAGGAAGATGAACAGTGAAAGGTGAGGGAGAGAAGACTTAGGGTTTTGCTTCTCAGAGTATGAGAGATGAGAGAAAGAACGTGGTCGGGCATTTGGTTTGGGCTCAAAGGCCCATTGGCTATTTTTCAGACGCATACCCCCAGTTTTTTCTGCATACACCCCCCTCCCAGTGTGTCTTCGTTTTGGGCCATGGACCATGTTACTTTCCACACCCCCCGGTGGGAGGCCCAATGGAAATACAAGGTGCATAGTTGCTAACCGCACCCCCAGTTTTGTCCTTTTTTTTATGATTTTTTGAAGGCTACTGGGCCTAGCACGCTTGCTATTGGTACCCCCCCCCCCCTCCTGAGCCCAAGTCATTTCTGAACTGCGTAGAATTACTATTTGCCACGCATGTTTTTCAATTTTAATTGATTTTCATTTTATTTCATGTTTGCATATAGTTTAGTAAAAAAATCATAACAAATTGAAAAATGGTTATTTTTACATGGGATTTTTTCCTTCATTTTCATAAAAAACATCAAGAAAATTATAAAAGAATAAAATTGGCATTTCATTCATTTTTTATTTTCTGGTGCATTTTTACATTTTATGGTATTTATTTCATTTACACTTGGTATATGGTACT